TTTCCCTTTACTCTCAATAAGCCTGATGCTTCTCGGGATCTGCTGCACAGGCCTTGGAGAAAGAAATCTGAGACAACTAAATACCAAACAGGCACTCGCTGCAGGACAAGTCTGCGTATGATCAGCAAAGATTATTTCATAAAAAAGAGAAATTCTACAGTTCTATTGTTAAACAGATGTCTTAGATGAGAAATTCAGAGGAGACTGACAGTACAACAAAACCCGACATTATTCTGTTTTGAATTACCAGGAATGTAACCAGAGAGTTATTTACTATTGTAAGAGGAGTGTATGTCTAAATTCAGAGTTGGTACATGGTATTTTGTTGTTTGATTTAAAAGACTGCAAAATATCAGGAAGACAAATGAGAAAACATAAAAGACATTCTGTTGCAATGTCAGATGAAAAGCAAAGTTGTACAAGATTTTCTTTTTAGTCATTCTATCTTTGAAAAGATTCATTCACTCATCACTATATTTCAAATTTCAAAGTGATGATAGAGTTGGCAATTAAAACAACAGCCTGGCCTCTGAAATAGAAAATTAAAGCACACTAAAAAGCTAAAGGACCTTTTTATTTAACAGAAAACCATGAAAAAAAGTATTTTCAGGGCCATGTCACGACTGATCAACAACACTCTGTTAGTTTACTCTAAAATAGAGTCTGGCACATGCTGATCTTGTCTGATACACAAGACTACTTTACATATGTTCATAAACTTTCAGTGCTGGATTAGATACTAAAAGCCTTAAACTCGTATTTAAAATCTTAACTTTGAGAAAGACTCACAAGTAAGTGAAGTCATATTGATAAAAGAGGACAAACTTTGTACCAAGATAGTTGTATAATGAAAACTAATTGCAAGTGTTCATAGTCAAAATGCTGGAAAGCTTAATGATATTCAGTAGAAGTGTCCTTTGCATTCCAAAAAAATAGTTTTCTGCATAACACACAAAGTTTATAATGACAAGCCAGCAATACTGGAAAAACGAAAGACAATTCAATGGTCTGAAAAAAACCCAACACAAAACCAAAAAAAACAACCCACTGATCAATGAACATATTGAACCGAATGCTATTTCATAAAAACTCCAAGTGACAGTGTAAGTAAAACGATCCTCAATAAAGGAAAAAAAGGCATATACAGTACAGCCTAGAGCATCCTTTAAGATGCTTGCTCCTCACTGTAAACAAACTGCATATACATTTAGCAGGAGGACAAAAAAATGTCAAGAAATGCCCCACAGTGTTATAATACTTAAAATTTAATTCCATGTATAGTTATTGTAGTTACTTCATTTTAGAATTAACTACTGAAAAGAGGTGAGAGAGAAACACACACCTTTTGCCTGACGTTTATGCATTCTTCCACATCTTCTTTAAAATGTTATTTCTAAAATCAGAGCATTGACAAAGAAAAGTAGCCAAGGGAAGGAAATCAACAGCTTTCAAGCATCTCACACAGAACTGTTACATTTTCTTTAGATCATATAAATTACTTCTTTCAGAGATCAGAAGGATATGGGAATATGCTTCTAATAAAACAGAAGAAATGCATTCAGTTCCAGCAAATTGAATTCATACCAGCAAGCCTCACGCCTTAGTTGACAAAGAGAAAATGGTAAGGCTTACTATGCAGCTTAACAGACGAAAACAGTTTTTTACCAGAATAGTTTTCCTGAACTAGTCGTAACAGTAAACAAAAATATTTACATGATTCTGATTAAAAATGACTGACATATGGCTGATGCATACAATTCATTAGAAAATAAAGAAATGCAATAATTACTGTAAGTATGTTGAGTATAAAATCCATGCAAATAATCGATTACAAACCGCCGTTTATGAATGTAACCTCATGCAAGAAAAGATCCGTAAATCTTTACAGCTATTCAGGTTTGTTTTCTGCCTCTGCCGTTTAGCAAAGACAAAAATGAGGGTAGCCTGCAATGTTCCTAATGAGTTTGGCACTGTTTCTGTACGCAGACAAGCTAAGGCAGACCTCTCAGCCTTTACAGAGGCTAAAATATTTACCAGTATGTCCATTTGCAAGAATAAGGCCTTATGCTTTAATCTATCTCCAGTCCAGAACTATTAAATCATTTCTCAGAACTGCATTATGAGAAGGCAGAACTGACAGTTCGAAACTTGAAATAACTTTTAAAACAGCTGAATAAAAAGGTAAGCCTGTGGGCTAATTCTTTTAAGGTTTCTCTTTTAAAAAATACCTATGACATAGCAGCACAATAAAAATTAGACTATAATTGTTCCACTATTAGAAGCTTGTAAACAGCAGCCACTGTGCACAGTAAGAAGAGCAAGACAAAATGAAATATTGTTAATATAATAATCTATTGCATTTTAATCAAGTTTGTTACACTGTGTACTGCTGTGTATGGTGAAATCCCACTGAAAAAACACAAGTCAAAGCCGAGGTGCTCTACTGTATTATTTAAACGGGTGATTATTTCTTTGGAGAAGAAAATACAGTAATTTAAGGGGCCTGTTGATGCCGTACGTGCATTAGCAGATCCAAGCAACTGCTCTGTGAGAATGGTTAGACAGAACTGTTTGCTGGAGATCTGAGCTGGATAGGGCTGCATGGTGTTCTAGGTAGTGAAATTACTTCGATATCAAAAAGTCATCACCTGGCAAATGAGGGGTTTCTAGATTAACCTTAAAGCTGTACCATCACTATTTCCTATATAAGTGGTTGCAGTTATAGAAAAATACACATATGGAGTTATTGTAACATTAGAGTTCTGCACATAAGTACACCATTACGTTTCTCTGTGTAGCTTAGGCCTAAAATGCTGTATTTTAGGCTGGAGTATTTAGGATTTTATTCCCTGACAGTATTAGAGCTTTTCAAAAAGAGGAATCTGGTATGCTTTGGGAGTTTACATTCTTCCTGCATCCTATACCCAATTTTCAAAACAAAATCTTACGGTTTTCTAAACATACTGTTATCTAGGAGACACACTAGTCAATTTAAGGAACGCTGTTTCTTGGCACAGGTAAGACGGGTGCCTTTTGTCCACGTTTGCTCTTTGTATTTTTGCTTGCTCTGTCTACAGACAATTTCCCACGTCCTTCACAGAGAAGTGGTAAGTGAGGTTTATTTCTTGGTTTTTAAGAGAAGTTGTAAATTCTACCATTCTCAGATTCTGACAAAGGACTTTTTTTTTTTTTTTCCTTTTAGGCAAACTAAACTCAAGCATGTCTTCTAGCTGGGGAACTCAAACCTAAATGCAGAATTATTTCGGCTGTGATCCAATACGCTCCTCCAAAGAGGCAGGTTCCTATGCCAAAAACAAAGCAGCGCTCAAACCGCAGGCCACGAAGCGGACGGAGGACACCGAGCAAACCCGCCTGCAGAAGCCGCGGGCAC